ATACTCCTACTACATACATTTATATATATTCAGCTATAGTTAGATTTCTATTTTTAGAAAGGTGAATCCCAATTGCTTAGAGACTTCATGTCTTGATGCCTGAATAAATGCACTGATTTTTACCACTTTCGCCTCCTGAATGAGTGAATTTATTTAATTTAACCCATGTTTCTGTTGGTGCGTCTGCCAAGGGCCGTGGACAGCCACTCTCATGACAGGAGTTAATCATTCAGCTATAGTTAGATTTCTATTTTTAGAAAGGTGAATCCCAATTGCTTAGAGACTTCATGTCTTGATGCCTGAATAAATGCACTGATTTTTACCACTTTCGCCTCCTGAATGAGTGAATTTATTTAATTTAACCCATGTTTCTGTTGGTGCGTCTGCCAAGGGCCGTGGACAGCCACTCTCATGACAGGAGTTAATCATCATCCCACACAGAACTGTGCTCAGTGCTGCATTAAGAACACGGGGTGTGAGTCTGCAGGCTGTTCAGAACTTTCAGTTCTGACTCTAGTACTCTGCTATTGCCATGTTGCCACCCAAGAATAGGGTGAAATATGATTAATTTTGACACTATGAGGCTGATCTCAAACTCATCAATACTAACAGAAAGGCTCCTTTACTCCTGCTGCTTTTGGAGCAAACTTCTGGCAGGAACACAGTTAGGAAAGCACAGAGATAGAATACTTTTAAAGGATGGAGAGAAATAATATCTGTTTTTTGAAAGTACTGGAGGAATACTTCCCAAAATCCAAGCAGAAATCTACTACTATGAATATGCTGAAAATCTAGTTGCTGATTTTTGGATTACTGAAAATAGAAGGTGCTGGTTCTTAATTTGAACCAAAGAGCCTTAAGACCTACAGCTGGCCCAGCTTCTTTAAAAGCTATTACAGCTACAGAAGACAGTCATAGTTCTGGGCAGTATTAACTAAAAACACTGATACTCTATCAAAAGCAACATAGTGTCAACATAGTGTTTCTCATTAATATTTGGGCATTAATTTTAGCCCTGCAGACTTGTTATTTGGTTCTTCTTTTGAATTTGTAGGGGCCTCTTTAGGAAACATGAACAGATTAACATTGCTGGAGTTCATGCATTACAGACTCAAAACATTTCACATTTGAGGCAATTATTGTCACTTACTCAATGTTCATACAATGCTTCTCACAGTGGGTTCCTAGTCTGGGAACAAGTTCCTCTGCAGTGCAGAACTGGAAAAATAAAGAGTTAAAATTTAGTCTTCTGTAAGCAAACTCCATGAGGAAGAAAGTAAAAGATTTGGATTTCCTGACCAATAAGCTAGAGACAGGAAGAGATGCCTAATTGAAATGCAATGACATGTAACAAAAAGGGCTTCCTCTACTTTGCAATATTTCCATTGTGTTTGGAAAGCTCTGAAAATACATCTCAGTGTTTGTTTTAGTGCACGAATTCCTTTCAGGCACACATATCTTAGGCAGATATATACTGTTGTATTTTCACCTATTTTCACCTATTTTCACCTATCCTTAGCTTTCTTCTAAGCTCATGTATCCTGACAGGCAAATTAGTACTTTGCATCTCACACTGTATCAGAGGTGGCACCTTGTTGCCCAGCCCCAGGAACAATATTCTGAAAGATCTGTCATGCTAATAGTTATCATTTCTTTTTTCTGGCTCTCCCCCTGCTGCTGGGAAAATAGAAGGGGAGTAATTATCTACAAGATACCATGTGATTTGGAATATTTTCCTGCTTCTTACAGTCCAAAGTTCAATGCAGCAGAGAAGGTCCATGTGTATGAAGTGTATACATCTCCATTCTCATCAGGTCAAGGGAAAGCAGTGAACTGCTGAAGCTTTGTCTTCCTTAGGCACTGCAGAAATATGGAAACGTCACAATGTGATTAATGGAACTCTTCCACTCTTTATACACTGTTTCACGTCATAGCACCATAAGCACCTGGCTTTAGCTTGCACAGCAAAGAGCCTAATTGATACTACTGGATAGCACAAAAATAAAGGAGGAACCTGAAAACCAGAAGTGTTCTTAGAGCAAATAACCAGCTGCAAAACTGTGGGAATGCACTTCACAGAATGTGACATTTTCTGACTAAGCTCATCTGATACAGATAGCTGCAGTCTAGTTGAGGTTATGTGAACTCTTTGTGGTTTATACTGCCCTTCAGTCCATTTCTAAGAAAAATACATGGTTAGGTTTGATTCAGAATACCCTCAAAGTTTTGAAAGTTAGCCAGATCCAAACCAACTCTTCCTGTTGGGTGGCTTTGCATTTGTAAGCAGACACTAATCTGGGAATATGTGTAGTACTGACAGGAAGGCATGATTAGAGTCCATCTTTATCACCTTTTGTGCTGCAAGATCTATTTTTTCAGCCTTTTCCTAAGAGGCGAGCTGACATGGTTCTTTGAGACACTGAAAGTGGAAAACATTTCTTTATGGAGACTTGGGCAGCATATGGATTTAAGTTACACTGAACATGATACATAACTTGCTACATTTTACTGGACCTCAGTAGAAGTCCAGAAGTACAGTGTAACAACTCATATGAATTATCCTTTTGATAATGATTCAGACTTCACTATCTATTTTATTTACCTTAGTTACCTGATTTTTGTATCTTTCTCTCACCTCCAACAGTCTCAAACACTCCCTGCCTGATGCATTTGCTAGAGATCATCTTTGGAAGGAATATTTTCTGCAGAATTAGAATTTTGTGCATTCATTCAATATTTTTAAAGTTTGGCAGCAATAGAATTTTTGCCTTGGGTTAACTTTTATCTGAGTATCTCAGATATTTCACCTTTTATTTTCAGTTAGGATTGCCTCCTTGAAAAAGAATGCCATGGTCTGTCATCCAAGACAGGGATACAAATCTCTCTCCTCCTCATCCTCTCTGACAGCAAGAGTAAAGACTCCGCATAAAGTACTGAGAAATTTCTACAGACTCATTCTATCAGGCGCCATTTGTTAATGTCAACACGGAAAAAGAGGTGCTTGTGACCCTCTGGTAGGAGGAAAGCAGTAACATGCGTAGTAAAAACATGTCCTCCTGAAAATAGTAGGAATGGTCTGGCTTACACTTAAAGACTCAGCTGTTTTCCACCTCTCCTGGCTCTTTGAAATATATTGATTGCTGTTTTACATTTTAAGGAAAACCAAGGTTTGGAAAAGGGGAGTTTGCCCTTTTATTTACACATTTTGTTTGGATCAAAATGGGAAATCTATTCATTCACATTTGTATTTCAAGAAATATAGACTAGATTCCAGTAAGGCTACCAAAATACTTTTTGAATGGATTTCAAAAGCATCATACTAATCATTTACGTTGCATGTATTCTGATGAAGCACAAATGAAACATATCTCTTACATACCAACTCCACAGTTACACAACTTTTCCCTGCAGGTTTGAATTTACCTAACTATTTACCTAACTAGAGAGGTTGTATCAGAGCTCAAACAATTTTTCACCATCAAGAAGTGAAAATATTACAGCATCTCTAAGTTCAGCTGTTTTAGGAAACATTATTGTTTAACTTCAACAGAGTACTCCAAAATATCTTCCTGGTTTACATTTCACCTGTAGTGCTTCTTCCCACAAGAATGAGTTTTAAGGGATAAGGAGTTACCTAAGGCACCCAGAAGAGATGCAGATCCTTCAAAGATAAATTAGGTTATAATACCAATCACTCAGTGAGGAACCTGTGCCTTAGCTTGTGTCCAGGTCTAATGACGGCATGTTTGCTCACCCACTCTCTTTTGGACTACGTACTATTCAGACTATTTTAACCACAATAGGAGCCTATTTAATTGTATAATATATCAGAGACAAAAAATAATAATTTTAGATTAGAAAAGAATTACTTTAAGGGCTTGACCTCATGTCGCCAGTCAGTCAAGACTGCTGCTGAAGCAAATGGCAGATTTGACTGAAAATTAGTATGGTGAAAGAGGCTAATTTGCCAGCAGAAAATGCGGATGGGTTT